CCTCCTCCCTCTCATGCTCTCTGTCTCTCATTCTCTCTCTCTCAAATAAATAAATAAAATCTCAAAAAAATAATAAAAAATAAAATTCTTTAAAAAAAAAGCCCAGAGCAGTATTATGGCATGCCCCATTTGTAGGAAAAAGAACATATCCCTGTATGCTTATCTTTGTAAAATATATCTCTAGAAGTTTACCAAGAAACTCGTGACAGTGACGTCCGTGGGGAGGACGCTGGTTGTCTCAGAGGCAGGGGTAGGAGGGACACTTAGTTTTCATGCCTTTTAAATTTTGTACACTGTGCATACCTTTTTGACAAATATATTATTTAGAAAAGATGAGTTGTATTGTCAGATGGTTATATATTTTAATCTCAACTGGCTACTTTCTAGATGTATAATTTTAGGCAAATTCCTTTCTTACAATATATCTTTTCTATTTTTGGAAATACAAAATAACCGGATAAATACACAGAGGAACATAACAATGGTCATCTGTATTCCCACCCTTAGAATTAACCGGCATTCTTCTCTTGGCAGGTATATTATTTTTCTTAAATGATTACTTTGCAATAACGACACATATTTAAAGAATTCAAACAGTGCAAAAAATACAAAAATTGAAGTAAAAACAAAACAAAACAAAACCCCAATTCTACCTTCCAATCATGGTAATGCTGTCACTTCTTCACCCATTTATCTTTCGTCATTGCAGACTTGGCACGAGGAGGAAAGGAAATAATAAATACAAAGAAGATAACACTGTGCCTGGCATCAAAGAAGCAATTAGTAAATGTCAGCTGCTGTCGTTCTTATGCTAGGACACCCTTGCAGCAGGGCTGGTGACACCACGGTCACGCATCGTCACTATCATTTCCATAGGGCCCAAACCAGTAGTGATGACCGCCCAACGGTGGCCAGGGGTCTGAGTCCTGTCTAGGTGGCTGTTACTCATCCAAAGCAATCAGAGGTTTTAGGAAGAAATAATCAGCTGATTTATGAGGTGGAAACACTGATGATTATACAGATGCATGATTAGACACAGAAAATCATTCGGTGATGATAGAAATTTTCTCTTTTCAAAACTCTCCTGACAGTCATAGTCAGACATAAAAGGAGGAGATTTTTCAATATAAGCAAAGGGTGAGTTAGTCACTTCTAGAAGGAAACTGAATTCAGGAAGAAGTCCCAAATGCTAAAATGAAGAAACTCATTTTAGGACATCTCGATTTGCCTCTACTGTCCAGGGACCAGAAGGACATAAAGTAACGGTGCCTACATAAACTTTAAAACATTATTTCTAAGTAGACGGCATCCCGTAAATTCAGAAGAACTTAAAAATATTTCACTATATATTCTATTTAAAAATTTATTATTATTTTTAATTTTAATTCCAGTGTCATTAACATAGAGTGCTAAATTAGTTTCGGGTATATAATATGGGGATACAGTGATCAAGTGTAATCACTATGTATTCTAAAACGCCTTTCATGATGTACTCTCCCCAATGGAAAAAAACAATCAGAGTCAACTCCATGATAGTAGAGCTAAATGGAAATTTAGAGGTCATTTAGTTTATCTCCTTCCTTCTATAAATGAGTCAACAGATCCAGAAAGATTAAGCAACTTGCAGAAGGTTATGTAACTAGTTCCCTGCAGAACCCAGACCTGATCTAAGACCGTATGACTCCCTGTTCAGTCATCTGTCCATAGCACATCTATCAGTTCTTGAGTATAAACCTCCTACAGAATGAAACTGCTTCTCAAACCAACGTGCAAATAACATATGTATTTAGTAAGCTTGATCATCTTTTCTATAATTACTAATGTGGAGCGTCTCTCACACAGTATACAAGCAGGATTATCAAAATCTGGTTTATGAAAGTAAGGCCCGACCTCTGCCTTTACTAGATCTCTCAGGGCTTCTGGATGGAAAATTGCATTTCAAATATTTTAAATACCTTTATCATGGAAAAATTGTATTTTTATTATGAGAAACTTCAAGCATAAACAAAAGTAGAGAGAACAGCATAACCATTTTTAAGCTCATTACCCAAATTTAACAAGTAGCAACATTTCTGCCACATTTGCTTCCTCTAACCCCTTCCCTATTATTTTTGCTGAACTGTTTTAAAGCAAATCCTAGAATTCCTCTATCATTTAATCTCTCTGCATTTCAGTATGCATCAAAAAATAATATGGACACAAGCACAATGTCATTATGGTATTAGCAAAATTTTTTTTTTTTTTTAAAGATTTTTATTTATTTATTTGAGACAGAGAGAATGAGAGACAGAGAGCACGAGAGGGAGGAGGGTCAGAGGGAGAAGCAGACTCCCTGCCGAGCAGGGAGCCCGATGCGGGACTCGATCCCGGGACTCCAGGATCATGACCTGAGCCGAAGGCAGTCGTTTAACCAACTGAGCCACCCAGGCGCCCGGTATTAGCAAAATTAACAGGAATTCCTCAGCAAAATCTAGTACCCATTCCCAATACAAATTTCCCCGATTTTCTCAAAAATGCCTTTTTTTAAATAATTGGTTTATTCAAATTAGGATTCTCCATCAATTTTTGATTCAGGGAAACACAGTCCAAATATCTAGAAAGATTTTAAGACTGAAGTCTATGCCTTAGTGTTTAGGCACTGACCGTATTGTAATTATTCTTACTGAGTCTTTCTTCACCCCAAATTCAATTTAGAAACATTCAAGTACTGTGAATATTCCCATCAAAGTCGGAGTGTGGCTGTCAGATAGTTACTGACTGAAAGCCAGCAGTAGCTGGCAAAAATTATGTCTATACAGTGCACATCAAGTGGTTGGTGTCAATGCATGAGAAGTAAAAATTAGCACTACACTGATGGTAACCAGTCAAGAAACAATGCAGATAGAGGCAAGATACAAGACACAACTGGACTTGCCAAGCAGGACTGGTCTGATGGGATGAGTGGAATGCCTAAACTGGAATGTCAATAAACATAAAAGGCAGCACCGGGTTCTGACATTTGTACATCAAGGTGCACTGCTGATGAAACATCAGAGGAGACTGGGATGTTGCCACTGTCCGTCTTCATCTACGGGTTGGCAAGTACAGCTAGGAGGATTTTTCCTGTGGTCTTTTGGTCTGTAATTAACCTATGTTTACTCTAGGAGGCAGGAAGCACCTTAATTCAGACTCTTCCTTAGGCCTAAAATTCAAGTCTTACCATAAAAATGGGACTTGAGTTACAAAAATAAATGTTTTTTTATTGTTTCCTAAGAAAACAGCAGTCAGGCAGTAAATACTGTTACAGAATAAATCCTTTATTTTTTTAAAAGATTTTACTTATTTATTTGACAGAGAGAGAGACAGCAAAAGAGGGAACACAAGCAGGGGGAGCAGGAGAGGGAGAAGCAGGCTTCCCGCTGAGCAGGGAGCCCGATGTGGGGCTCAATCCCAGGACCCTGGGATCATGACCTGAGCCGAAGGCAGACGCTTAACTGACTGAGCCACCCAGGTGCCCCATAAATCCTTTATAATAGAAATAAATCACCACTAATTCTTAGGATTCTTAATCTTTCCCTTTTGTATTTTTTTAGTGTTTCAAAGAGAGAAATCTTCTGCTCTCTCACATATCTGCTTTAATGTCAAAACCTCAGCCCTGAGGATTCTGCTTGGCATTCCAGCTTCCTTGAATGTCCAAACCTCTAAATCTTCGAGTCTTTTTGGTTTTACAGTTGTCATTTGACGATAATAGAGAGAGTGAGTTCTTTATAGAACCCCTCTCAAAGTAAGACATACTAGTCTGATTTATCTAATTCTGTATGTACTCAAAGAATTCCAGAAGTTTCTAATGCAGGTATGTAGCAGGGGATGCTACTGGGAGACTGGAAGCATCAACTTAATAATGCAACAGTTCTTTACTAAGCATCTACTTCCTGAAAAGCACTGTGAACAACACAGAGATGACAATGATCTTCAGGAGTTCTCCGCTAATATGGAAGACAGATTACATAAAATTATAATATAAAGTGAAATGTGCCAGATGCTATACAAACTCAGAGTGTAGGGGAGAACATCGTTTGGAACACATGCCTCTGGGATCAGGACAATCTTCTTAGGTGAGACTGCATTTGAGCGGAGGAAGGACAGGATAAACAATTACGTTAGAAATGTGATTTAGGGAGGCTACTTTGGAAGCAGATGAACTGAATGAGGGGAAGTTCGAAGGGAGGAAAACAGTGAGGAGGCATTCCGACAGTCCCAGGAACGTGTCAGAGGGCAAGATTTACACGATGGTGCTGGTAACGAAGAGGAGGTGACAGTGGGAACTGAGGAGAGACACTGAGTCTGAAGGACAGATTTAGAACTCACCAGCCCCCAGGTGACTATCGAAGCCTTGGTGGTAGGTCAGAGGGCCCAAGGAGATGGGCTGAGAGAAAAAGGCCCAGTCCCTGAAGAGTGTTTATATTTAAAAAAAAAAAAAAATGGAAAAGGAGCCGAAATAAATGGAGAAGGAGCAGACGTGACTGGCAGAGAATCAGGAAAATATACTGTCACAGAAGCTTAGAGAAGATACAGTCTCAGGTAAAGAAGGGGGGTCAACAGAACCCGGTGATGCAGGCAGGCCAGTGAGAGGAGACAGAGGGGCCGACGGAGGATTTATCAGTGAGTCTGTCAGTGACCACTCAGCACGGTTTCAGTGTCCGTGGGAGGATGGAAGCCAGACTGTGAAAGCACAACCCACGAGCAAGAGGAAATGGGGCAGTGCAGACAATCCGAGAGAAGGAGGGCTTTACAGGCAGAGAAGACAAACCTCAGACCTCAGAAAATAACAGGTGGAGGCCATCATTAATGGGGAGAGGTTCTGAAAGAAGTGGGAGAGATGAAGGGGTTCAGCCCAGAAAGGAGGAGTGGGTTTCCTGAGGCAGGTGGCCTAGAGAGAGTCCCTCCTTCTCCACAAGGTCTCCCATCTCCTGAAAGAACTGGTGGTAGCTACGGGGGGGGGGGAGAGGGGGACGGGACATGGTGTCACAGCGGGAGCCACTGCAGTTCCAGCATTCATGAATGACGACAACCAAGGCACAGACCTGGCTGGGTGGAGCTCAGGTGTGGAAATCTCATCACAAACTTGGTTGTCACCTACAGGTGATCAGAATCTTCTTAGATCCAAGACCGCCAAGAATCTCTCCTGCTGAGACTTCACACTGTGTCTGGTCCTTTATATGGGGCCTGGGCCCTTGGGCATAACTCCAGCCTAGCTCTGTGAATCCTGGGTTATTCAGTCACCTCACCTTCTCCTTATTTCTTCATGCCACATGGTGGCACCTTGGTCCACTATCCTGTTCATCAAGAGAAATGTCTTCAACATATGACCCGTTCCTAGGCCTGGTCCGTCAGGACTCCCCTGACGTTACGCCAGCCACAAGCCACAAGAATGTCTTTCCTCATCTGTAGTTTGTGAGCTTGCCAGAGGTAAATCTAAAGTTCTGAGTGATTTTAAAATCCCATGATTCTAAATCAACACTACAGGGAACTTTTGCTCTTTTCTTCTCGTTCAGGATTTCTTTTTTTTTTTTTTTTAAAGATTTTATTTATTTATTTGATAGAGAGAGACACAGCGAGAGAGGGAACACAAGCAGGGGGAGTGGGAGAGGGAGAAGCAGGCTTCCCGCCGAGCAGGGAGCCCGATGCGGGGCTCGATCCCAGGACCCCAGGATCATGACCTGAGCCGAAGGTAGACGCTTAACGACTGAGCCACCCAGGCGCCCCTCGTTCAGGATTTCTTAGTGTAGCATTTCCTTATGAGTATACTTAGTACTTCTGAACTAGTATCTCAACTTGAGGTTTTTTAATAGAGCAGAAAGGCAGTGAGTTGAACAACAATACATTCTTCTTACCAACAGCTTACCTTTCTTCATTGTTTTCCATCTGATTAGGGAAAGCAGCAAAGTCTAGTAGTAATTTAATGGCATCAAGGTATCCATTGTTACAGGACCAGTGCAAAGCTGTTCTTCCCTATAAGCACAAACAAAAATCAGGTATATCTGGAATAGGTATTTTTGGACACATAGTTATTGATGCTAACTCAAAAATACAAACGATGCTCCCAAATTGCTTCATTATAAAAAGGGAAAATATTTCTCCACTCAAATACACAGTGGAGAAAATGGATGATATCTTAACTAAGTGATCAAAATTAATACCATGTTAAGAGGCACCATGTGTTTCCAGAGGTGATATCCTGAGAAGGATTCAATATCACTTGTATAATGCTCCAACCAAAAAAGTAAAACTTAAGTCTAATTATGAGGAATCATAAGGCAAACTCAAAATGAGTGAGATTCTACAAAATAAATGGCTGATATTCTCAAAAAAATTCAGTATCATGAAAGATAAAAAAGGCATGAAGCATTGTTAGATATACAAGAGGGATATTTCATAGTTTTAAAGGCGTCAAAGAGGAAGATACCACAATCCTAAATCTGTATGCATCTAATAACAAAGCTTTTAAATATACAGAACAAAAAATGACAAAATTAAAAGGGGATATGGTCAAATCCATAATCAGTGAGAGATTTTCAACCCACCTTTTATAATAGTTCATAGAACAAATCAATGAAAGGACAGTAAAGATATAGAAAACCTGAACAATACAGTAAAAAACTTTGACCTAAGTGATACATAGAAGACATTGCATCCAACTATGATACAACCAGTATTCTTTTCAAGTGTACATAGAACATTTACCAAAATCAATCATATGCTGGGCCACAAAGAAAGCCTCAAAGGACTTTGAAGAATTAAAATGATTCTGAAATAAAAGAAAATAATTCTGTTATTCTGTTTTTAGACCACAGTAGAGTTTGAGTTACAAATCAGTGTGGTAGACAGAATAAATGCATGCCTTTGCAAAGATGTCTATGTCCTAATCTCTGGAATTTGTAACCCTGTTATGTTATTGGAAAGGGGAAATTAAGATTGTAGATGGAATTAAGGTTGCTAATCAGCTGACCTTCAAATGGGGAGATTATCCTGGATTATCTGAATAGGCCCAGTATAAGGATTATATGGGGAGGGAAGGAAGGAGAGAGGCAGGAGGGCGGGTGTTAGAATGATGCAGTGTGAGAGAGACTCAGCCAGTCACTGCTAGCTTTGAGGATGGCGGAATGGGACCATAAGCCAAGGAATGAGGGTAGCATCGAGAAGCTGGAAAAATGAAAGAAACAGATTCTCCCCTAGAGCCTCCAAAAGGATTATGGTCTTGCCAAAACCTTGATTTTTAGCCCAGTGAGACCCATTTTGGACTTTTAGCATCCAGAAGAGTAAGATAATAAATTTGTGTTGTTCTAAGCCACTAAGTTTGTGGTAATTTATTATAACAGCAAGAGGAAACCAATATAATCATTTACCAAAAGATAATAAGCAAATGCCCAACTGCCTGGAAATTAAGCAATACACTTCTAAATAATCTATGGGTCAAATAACAAATCAAAATAGAAACTAGAAAATATTTGAGCTGAATTATAGTGATGGTACAACTTATCTAAACTTTTAGGATGAAGTTAAAGCAGTGCTTAGAATAAGAAGCATGTTTAAATACATATACTGGAAATGAATATTGAAATAAATCAATGATTTAAACTTTTATCAAAAGAATCTTTAAAAAAAATAGTAAATCAAACCCGAGGAAAGTAGACGGCAGGAAATAATAAACACCAATGAAATAGTAAACAACTTAAAATGTAGAAAATCAACAAAGAAGTAAGTCCTTTGAAAAGACGAATAAGATGAAAAATGTTTTTAAAAAGAAAAGACACAAAGCACATTACCAATATATGAAATGAATAAGAGGAAATCACTAAAGGTCCTACAGTCATAAAAAAGGTAAGTGAGGGCGCCTGGGTGGCTCAGTTGGTTAAGCAACTGCCTTCAGCTCAGGTCATGATCCTGGAGTCCCTAGATCGAGTCCCGCATCGGGCTCCCAGCTCAGCAGGGAGTCTGCTTCTCCCTCTGACCCTCCCCCCTCTCATGTGCTCTCTCTCATTCTCTCTCTCTCAAATAAATAAATAAAATCTTTAAAAAAAAAAAAAGGTAAGTGATTATATGACCAACTTTATGCAAAAACATATGATATGTTAATAAAATAAAATAAATTTCTCAGAAAATGCAACTTACCAAAGCTGAAAAGAAAATAATTAGAAATCTGAATGGTCTTGTAATTATAAATGACACTGAACCAGTTATTAACACCTTTTACACAAAGAATACCACTAGACCAGATGACTTCACCGGGGAATTCTTCCGAACATTTAAGAAAGAAGTAATACCAATGTTACACAAATTCTTTAGGAGAATAAGAGGAGCTATTTCCTGACTCTTTTTAATTCACCATATTAACAGCAAAGAGGTGAAAAATCATGTGATCATCTTGAAAGATACAGAAATAGTATCTGACAAAAATTAAACAGCTAATTGTGAATAAAAAACCCCCAATTCTTAGCAACTAGAAATATAAGGTAACCTATAGCAAATATCATATTCAATGGTGAAATATTTCAAGCTTTCCCCTTGAGAAACCAGAATGAATTAAGGATACCAACTATCACCAATTCTATTTGACATTGTATTGGAGGTATCAGTTAGTTCAATAAGGCATACTATTCACAAATGATACGCTGTTTATGCAGATAATCCAAAATAGTACATGTAAAAACTAATGGAACTGGAAAGTAGCTTAGTATATACTACTTCTGTAAGAAACCGGCAACTTGTAAAGACAATGTAAAAGGTACTACAGATTACAAAAGATTAATTTCTAATCACATAGATACAAGGACCATATTTCACATATTTTTCATTACGTTACTTTTACAGATAGGAACAACCTTGATAAATATTTACTGAATGAATTAATAGAAAATATATTTTCTGGCTTGGAAAACATAATATGCTAGTATTTTTGAAGACTTAATGTAATTGAAGTACCAAAAAAATCAATACTGGCTAGACTGAGAGAAGTCAATACAATACTACATAGCTGGGAAAGTGGAAATTAACCCACATGGTTTAGAAATCCATTCAACAGGGGCGCCTAGGTGGCTCAGTTGGTTGAGCAACCGACTCCTGATTTCAGCTCAGGTCATGATCTCAGGGTCGTGAGATGGAGTCCTGAGTCAGGCTCCATTCTCAGTGGGGAGTCTGCTTGGGATTCTCTTTCTCCCTCTCCCTCTGCCCCTCCCCCTGCTCAGGTGCACGCTCTCTCTCTCAAATAAATAAATAAATAAATAAAATCTTTAAAAAAAAATCAGTTCAATAGTATATATCAGAGTTCAATCACATTCATATACCAATAATAAATAATCTCACTTAGGGGAAATGATTCTAAGGAAACAATAAAAAAAGTTAAATGCACAGCAATGATCAATGAAACATGATCAATAATAATGAAAAAGTACCCAGCCATAGGAAGTTACTTGATTCTAAAATTGGGGTTACAGGCATAGTTTGGACCCTGACTTCCCACAACAACCCTGCCTCTGTTGTCACCTTAGGGTATTTGGGTAAGCTCCATGAGCTTCAATTTTCTCACCTGTAAATGGGAATAATAATAGCAATTCCTTTACAGAGTTGCTGTGAGAACTGAATGAGTTATTAAACATAAAGCTCCTAGAACTTTGGAATACTCAGCATCTATGATTATGCAGAAGATTATACACCAAATGAGAAAATCATGGTGATGATTTTAAGTGAACAAAACGTGCATTGTGAAATATATATCTATATGTATACACATACGTACACACATGCCATGCATATGTATCTTATGAAAGTTATAAAACTATTCCCATTCTGTATTATGACTTTGTTATGGCATATATGGATATATAGACAAGAATTAGAAGGAAAACAGGGAAAAATAAAACTCATTTTTAATTAACAGATAAATTTGTAAGTGACCTCTTTATTTGGTAAAATGTTTTACTTTATTTTAGATAATGAAGAAGAAATACTCTAAACAACTGGGAGCAAACAATATAGAAAATATGTAGATTTTCTACCTCTTTGTCTTGAATGTTAGGGTCTGCATTATTTTCCATGAGCACTGCCATGCAGTTGATGTAGCCGCCGTAAGCAGCACACTGCAAAGGGGTTCGTCCTGCGTAATCTTGCACGTTTGGATTGATCTTATTTTCTATCAATATCTGGCAAACATCAGCATTTCCTCCCAGTGCTGCCCAGTGTAGAAGAGAGTGTCCGTCTTGATCGACTAAATCTACCCTCGCTCCACCTGAAAAAACAAAAATATAATGAAAATGTCCAATATAGAGAGCTTGCTCAAAAAGAAGTCTGAAAAATATAGCAACAGTCCCTTAAATGCTTTACTCTCAGCAAAATGTTGCCACGTACATTATCTACTTCAGATTTTTACAATAAGCCTGTAAGTTGGTCAGGGCACGAGTCATCTTTCTTTTATACGAAGTGAAACTGAGGATCGGGCAGGTGAAGTGGCTTTTCCAAAACCACACAACTGCCAACAGGCGGAGCTAGGACTGGACCTCAGGTTTCCTGGTGCGCCTGCGTGTGCGCGCGCGCGTGTGTATGTGCGTGCGTGTGCGTGCGTGTGTGCGTGTGTGTGTGCACGCACACGGCGCTCTTCCCTCCATCCTTCCACCCAGGTGGCCCTCTGCTATGTAAGCTGTGTTTCAAACAGTGCCTGCAAGAATTCCTACCTTTTGAGAGTGACTTGGTAGGAGCACTCTTAATAACCAACCTTTAATAAGTGTCTGAATCACATCTTTGTGTCCCATCTCACAGGCTCGGAAAAGTGGAGTATGCTTCATGACATCGGTGGCATCTACTTGAGCGTTATTTTCCAACAGTAGCTTCACGGTGCTGACATGGCCAGAAAGGGCAGCGGCATGTAAGGCTTTTTGAAAAGGGAGTGAAAGAAAGCAAAGAACTCTTTGATAACAACTTCACCTTTTCCTTATTCTAACTGTGCATCTTTTCCTCTTCTGATGTCCTCATCATTTTTGCTAAATGCAATTTAATCTTTTTTTTTAAAGATTTTATTTATTTATTTGAGAGAGAGAGTGCACACACGGGCGGGGATGGGGGGTAGCAGAGGAAGAGGGAGAAGCAGGCTCCCCGCTGAGCAGGGAGCCCGATGTGGGGCTTGATCCTAGGACCCTGAAATCATGACCTGAGCCGAAGGCAGACACTCAACCAACTGAGCCACCTGGGTGCCCCTAAATGCAATTTAATCTTAAGGATTCTCTATTGTTCACTTCTATAGATTTCAGTCTTCCTTTTTAGTCACAGGTACTACTCACACTTTCCCCCTGTCCTTCTACCTTTCTTGTCTCACTGTTTCTTCCTTTCCATCCTGATGGTCTGAAATGCTTTCCAAAAAACGACAAAGAGCAATGATTTAAATGACGCAGGCAATTCTGCCCACCACCCCACTCGATAAGCATATGCCCGAGGGTTGGTGTGATGGGAAGTGTCAATCCACTGGTCCTTCAGCTGCCGAGCCGCGCTATTCCTGCCGGCGGTCTGCGCACCCATGTGGTACTGAGGGGATGCACAGCCCACTGCCTCGAGTGCATTTTTCATACAACATGGCTTCAAATGCAAGCCACTGATTTCCTCTGGGCCCAATTTAAGAAACAGCAATTTGTTTCAACATTGGAGAAAAAACCTGAGAAGGAATGTGGTCCCCTCTCTGGTGCCTTCATATGGGGTTTGAAAGAGGAATTTTGACTCTCTGTGGGTTTCAGGTTGTGCTGACCTCTGCCTGTGTTACTCCCCTCTAGTGCTTGACTTACGCCAGTACTCTTTGGATTACTTTTTAAATTCTATTTAAATACATCACTCTTCAAATTCTGAGTTTGCCAGCAGAACTGTCTAGAGGCCTGGGCCAGTTCTTTCTAAGTATCATGGCCCTATAATGCCTAGAACAATATTTCTTTTTTTTTAAGATTTTATTTATTTATATGAGAGAGAGAGCACAAGAGGGGGAGGGTCAGAGGAAGAAGCAGACTCCCTGCTGAGCAGGGAGCCTTATGCGGGACTCGATCCTGGGACCCTGGGATCATGACCTGAGCCGAAGACAGTCACTTAACCAACTGAGCAATCCAGGCGCCCTAGAACAATGTTTCTTTCAATAAAGTGTGATCCATGGACCAAACCCAGGATGCCTATAAAAGTGCAGATTCCTGGGCATTTGTTGAGAACCTTCTATGGGCTGGGTATGAATGTGATGGTGGGAATTCAGCAGAGAACAAAATAGATAAGGTTACGTTCTAGTAGGGGAAGCAAAATAAAAACTGAACAGATAAACAAAGTATTAGATGGTGGTGGATGGTATGATTGGAGTAATAAAAGGTATCTTGATATGCAGAGTGACTGGGAGACCACTTTAATTGGTGGTGACAAAAAGCCTTGCTAAGGAGCTGACACTGAAGTTGAGACCTGGGTCATAAAGAGACAGCAATGTAGAGATCTCGAGAGGGAGTAGTTCGAGCAAAGAGAACAGTTAGTCCAAGGGCAGGAATGAGTTTATGTGCTTAAGGAAGGCAAGGAAGCTGCAGCACAATGAAGTAAGGCAGAAAGGTAGAGAAGGCCAGATCCTAAGTGGCCACACAGGTCCCAGTGATGAAGGGCCTGAAGACTTCACATAGATGAGTGAGACTATTTGACTTGTGCCTTAATGAGATCACTCTAGCTGCTCTGAAGAGAATATATGTACTGTAGTAGGTGAGAACCAGCTAACACTATTGCAGGAGACTCAGTAAAAAATGCTGGTGGCAGGGCGCCTGGGTGGCTCAGTTGGTTAAGCGACTGCCTTTGGCTCAGGTCATGATCCTGGAGTCCCGGGATCGAGTCCCACATCGGACTCCCTGCTCGGCAGGGAGTCTGCTTCTCCCTCTGATCCTCCCCCCCTCTCATGCTCTCTCTCTCTGTCTCATTCTCTCTCTCAAATAAATAAATAAAATCTTTAAAAAAAAAATGCTGGTGGCTTGAACTAGGCTGGCGGGAGTGGAGACGGAGAGAAGCAGAAAGATTTAGGATATATTTTAGAGGTGGAGTCAATAGGACTTACAGGATCTGAAACAGATTTCTGTCTGTATAGTCTGGGAATCTGTATTTAAACAAACACCGTCACAATTCTTACATGCACTTGAGTTGGAGGACCCTGATCTACGTGGCTGAATGTTAGTTTGGCCCAGACAAGATTCAGAAGAGTGTGAGAGACTTCAAGTATCTTAGGGGCTGCCATGTGGAAGACAGCACAGAGCAGAACATTCACTTTGACAAATCTGGGCTCAGTGTAAGGAAGAATATTCTGATAGTTAGTTTAAGATGGAATTAGTGGGTTCTCCATATTGGAGCTGCATAACGGGAGGTTGACAGACCACTGGTGAGAATGCTGTAAGGCAGATCAAGTGTGCTACATCTATGAGAGTTTGGTGACTTTCACATTTTAAGAGGATAAGAATACATCTGCCCCCAAATGAAGCTTTATAAAACACTCATCATATAAAACTGGTAAGAGTTGAGTGGTTCTGACTAAAGCAGGGGTGGAGGGTTACCCCCTTAAGTACCTGCCCCCCTCGGCAACACTTCAGCACTCTATAGAAACCCGTTGTTCTTGGGGCGCCTGGGTGGCTCAGTTGTTGAGCGTCTGCCTTCGGCTCAGGTCATCGTCCCAGGGTCCTGGGATCGAGTCCCACATCGGGCTCCCTGCTCGGCGGGAAGCCTGCTTCTCCCTCTCCCACTCCCCCTGCTTGTGCTCTCTCTCTCACTATGTCTCTCTCTGTCAAATAAATAAATAAAATCTTAAAAAAAAAAATTAAAAAAAAAAAGAAACCTGTTGTTCTGAAGAATATGGTTTGGAAAACCCTGGACTAGATTTAATTTTAACGTATTTTCTAATTTTAAAATTCTACAATTCTGTGATGCTGCATCAGTATGCAATAAATACTGTTCAGATGTCAATGTCAAAAAAAAAAAACACCCCACCACAAAATCCCAATTAAACAAATGATAGAATTCATTTTCTTATTAATTGAAATTCCCCATTTCTGTCTATTAGCCTTTACATTACTTTAAAATAACCTTAGATTTAAATACTGTTGCTCTCTTTGAGAAGGTATCACAAATTTACACAGGAGCCCTAATTTTTTATTTAACTTTCTGTCATGGAAAATTTCAAACATATTCAAAAGAAAAGACAATAATCTAGAGAACTCAATATAGCCATTCCCTAGCTTCAAGGACGATCAGCAGATGCCTGGTTTTGTTTCATCTAACTGCCAGCCATTGTCCCCACTTCTAATTGATTTGAATAAAATTCTAGAGTCACATCCTTTCCTTTGTAAATATTTTAGTAAGTCTATCTAAAATACAATGATGTGGGGTTTTTTTTGTTTTTGTTTTTTTACACAACCACTGCATCAGTCAGTGTCTAGGAGACAGAAACCATGCCAGATACTTTAACAGACAGAGTTCAAAATAAGGAATTGTTAGCTATGGATTGAAGAAGGAAAAAGCAAAAAAAGGAACACTAAGGGATCACAGAGGTGGTACATGCAGAAGACAACCAGCAATTCTAGGGCCGAGGGAACGAAAAGAAGAAGATGGAATTATTAAAACTTAAAAGCCTAGAAGAGGAGCCCTGTGGGGTGGAAACTCAGACATCTGAGCAGGAGCTCTGCTTGGCTGGTGCTGGTGCCTCCGAGGAGGGTGCTCTGGGGCTGGTACTGTGAGCGCTGGAGAAACTGCCAAGTGAAATTAACTGTCGCCACTGGAACAAACTATCACTGCTGTTTCGTTGAAGAAGACCTCCTAGGGTGATGCTGACAGGAACAGGAAACCAAAACGAGAGTAGTAAGGAAACAGAAAGGTGTGGTCCGGTTCTCCCAGCTTTCCAGTCTCCCTCTACTGCCCCTATGGGAGGATTCTAACATGGCACCTGCTGGCAAAGGGGAAATGGGAGTCCACAGAGCCCTGGCCCTGGCATTGCAAAGACAGGCTAATCTCATTATCATACCTAAAAAACATGCACACAAATTCTGTAATATCAAATATCCAGAAAGTGTCCATACTGTCCTGACAGTTTTATAATTTTTTTATAGTTTATTTGAATCAAGATCCAAATAATGTCTGTACGTTGCTGTTGATGAGAACTCTTTTTTTCATGGGAAGGAAAAACAACCCTGTAGAGGTATGATGGAGAGAAACTCACTTTCAAAGAAGAGAAATGTCAGGAAGGCATGTCTGACATATAATAAAATACCCTTAGGAGAAACAGCCAGGGAATTAATAAATCTGAGAAGAATTTATGTCTGAACTCCAACCATGGTGCACATCAGAAAGACCCCTTTGGTCAAAAGGATGGAAGTATCCTTCCCCATACTTTATTAAAATACATGAGAAAGTTAAACTAAAAGCAAAGCTAGTGAGAAAGTGAAAGGCTGCATATTAATGGAAGTCTGACAAAAAATGAAATGTTCAGACCATTTATAAACTCAGGGTCCTACATGTCTGTACTATACCCTTCTTTAAGAATTTTAAGGTCCACTGTGAAGCTTTGATAAAGAAATACTTTTGATGGTTAAAGCTTTTATTAAAATTGATATTACCCAAAAACTCTTTAAAAAATAATTTAGAAGGGTGATGGCTTAGGTATAGGGAGGGAGATTATTAGGAATAATCCTGCTCCCCACCAAGTGTTGCACCGGTAGATTTGGCGGCCGAGAAAGATCTCATCCGGGACAACAGATAGGTGTAAATAGCTCTAAGCCTGCAGCTGAGTTTTTATTCTGTTCTGTGTTGTTGTGCTATTGTGTGATCTTCTTTCTTTTTTGGACTTGCAATTAGGATATAGTACACGACGTAGAGACTTCCAAGTTGACAGTGAATGCTAAAAAATTCATACCTCTCTTATTAACCAATGCACAAAGTGCTCTCTTACTAGAAAAAGAGATTGAAAGAAGCATCTACTGAGAGCTTTTGATCCAAATCTAACATGAAGCTCTGAAGCTTCGTTCTCGAAGGGAGCTTATCTCTAAAATGGGAGATTTGGGAGGAGGGAATGCTCTTCAAATCTGAGAAAAGAGCACATTAAAGAAGACTGGTGAGAACATACTTAGATATGTGCATTCCTTAAAATATAATTCTAAATTTTTGTTTTTTGTTTTCTTTTTTTTTAATCTTTTTTTTTTTTTTTT